TTTCTGTTTATTCTCAATCTCGCCTTTTTTTTTTTTTACAAGGAAAAAAGTTGATGTTAATTGTACTCCATGGCCCCTGTTCTTTAAAATCCTTTGAATTGTTGTTCAGAGGTCATGTTATGCATTATATATAAAATGGATATGTGGATATCAAGAAGACACTTATTGAGCTTCCATTTGTGGTTGCAGCTTTGTGTGGTGTACCTTTAATTCCACAGCATCGCACACTCCTAAAAGTCTGTCAGTTGAATTTGTAGACAGACAAGTTTTGTTCCTAATTAAAAAGTTATGTGAAATTAATCTTATTAGTGTAGTTAAGAAGGATGTGTGTGGGCCAAGTCATGTGGATGTAGACTGTGGTAAACGTGACTGAATTTTTTTCTGGTTTCGTTCCAGTGTGATGGGAAATTCTTAGCCACAGGTTCTTACGATGGCTTTGCCAGGATATGGAGCACAGACGGTAAGTCTGCTAACCAGTTCTAAGCCTGCTAATACATTAAAACTGTTATAGACGGTTAGACTGCTAACCAGTGCTAAGACTGTTAATACAATTATACTGTCGCAGATGGCAAGACTGCTAACCAGTGCTAATACAATATTGCCACAGTTACCAAATGTTTATATTCTAAGAAATCCGCAATTTTAACTAGTATTGGGAAAATATGAAAATAAAAGTTTATTGACTCACCCAGTTTGTTTTAAACTAAGTTGAAAATAGAATTATGGTCGAATCCCTACTGCTGGTGATGCATCTTCAGTTCTTGCCAAATGAGGCCTTGTGAGGAGTTAGGGTTGAAACTTAGCGACCACTATTTTAAATATAAGCCTCAGTATTTGATTAAATTTCCTTAAAGAGGGCATTTGGACTAACAGAGCTGCAGATCAAATATGGCCAACCCACTTTAATGCTTGTTGCGTAATCCCCGCAGGGAATATATTCGGTCTCTAATCAGAAATTAAGCCGCAAGCTTTTAAGTGGGTCGCCATATTTGATCTGCAGATCTGTTAGACCCTATTCCCAGAGACTAGATCGATCCAAACTAGATCGACTTAACTCCCTGGGGGTTCACACTAAATAGCTGTCAGCCGAGCGGGCACGAAAGTTAATTACCCCCTTACAGCTTGTAGTAGGCTGGACGGACATTTAAGCCGGATTACCTGACAGTAATCTAGTGAGACTCCCCATGGGGATAGATCGATCTAAATGTCTGGGAATACGCCCTTAGTCTGCTGTTCTGAATGTGCTTAAAGACACCAAGGGTCCGCGTTGGGCAATCCCACTCTGCTGGGAGTGAGTGCAACAAGATGAATGGAATGACACAACTCTTGTATTTCCAACCTACACGCATTATCACCAGCTTCTCTGTAGTCTATTTAAGGCTAGGAGGAGGCGTGTTAACCTGCTTATCTGATTGCACTGGGCAAGAAACCCTACAGAGTTGGGTTAGTCCATGTAAACCCATTATGGGAGTGTACCCTTGCATATTTGAAATATTTAAGATACATTTGATGTAGGTTTAATGATGTACACTTGTCTTCTTACAGGTCGACTAGTTAGCACACTAGGGCAACATAAAGGACCTATATTTGCATTAAAATGGAATAAAAAAGGAAACTATATCCTAAGTGCGGGTGTAGATAAAGTAAGTATATATTGCTGTTTATCTTAATTATAGATGGCCCCTATTTCTTATCACTGATGTCATTTTTTCAGTTAAATAATAAATGTTGCCACCAACTCATATGGTTGGATCAATACGAAATACTAGTACTCAAGCTGAGAATAATTTGGAGTTTGCTTGAAAATGTACTGTAATATTTCTTTACTCTTCTTTTTATATCTTTAAGAAATATTGAAATGTTAACTGTAACAATCAAATTTAAGGTGCAAGTATGTATTATTATTAAGTTTTTTACTTAATTTTTCAGACGACAATAATATGGGATGCTAGTTCAGGTCATTGTACACAACAATTTGCTTTTCATTCTGGTAAGTTGAGGGAATTGCTCAAAATGTCAACCTTAGTTTGGTATCTGTTTCTCCGGTGAAGATTCACTGTAATAGTTTTAAAATAACATTATTATTATTATTATTATTATTATTATTATTATAAATGTGTAACACATTCCTAGAACTGTTCTTTTAGTGTTGTCTGATGCACACTGAGCTCAACACAATGAACTGTCACAACTAACACAATGACTTGTCACAACTAACACAATGAACTGTCACAACTAACACATTTCAAACAACCTCATTGTCACAAGAGCTCTCAATCTTTGTGCCACATTGGCCAAATAAGGGTCTTGTTTCACAAGAAAAGTAAGGCCTGAAAATTTTTAGTCCAATTTGACCCAAGTAGTCCATTTAAATGAAACAGTGAGCCTGTTTTACAATAAGGGTTGGGACTGCTACACACATGCACGCACGCAGGCACGCACACACACACACAAACTTTTGGTCTCAAAAGTTTAGACTATTTCTTTGTGCTCTAGTTATTAAGTGAACCATGCCCCAGGAACTGCAAATTTGTCTTTTCAGTGTTTCTTTACTTCCTGGATGAAATAAGTGTTGTCTGGGTTGATTTATATTTTAAAAAGAGATCATTGTTTTCCATTTCAGCCCCTGCGCTGGACGTAGACTGGCAGACCAACAATAGCTTTGCCTCCTGTTCAACAGACCAGTGTATTCATGTGTGTAAATTAGGGGTAGACAAGCCAATTAAAACATTCCAAGGCCACACAGTAAGTAGGCGAAATAATGATAATAATAAATGAATAAATCTAATTAAATAGATCATTGGAATGTAAATGAAAAGTTCGTGTTACAACTATAAAAATGATAAATAAATTCTTCACTGGAATGTTAGTATTATGCCAGAACTTCCTGTTAGAAGTTCATTTGTGGCTGATGTCATATGGAGTTTTAAATACAGCACATAAAATTCAAAATTTTTAATCTTAAATGTGAAAATGAAGACTATTTTTTTTATGAAAGTTGCATTGCAGTAACTAACTTATATTTTAATGTTTATTTCTATTTTTGTATTATTGTTATGTGTGTTAACAAATACTAAACTCCAAAAGCATCACCAGAGCAGTTAAACTTTCATGAACATGGCTAAAATATGGTGTTTTTCCCCCTTTCCAGAATGAAGTGAATGCCATCAAATGGGATCCACAGGGCAACTACCTGGCCTCCTGCTCTGATGATATGACCTTAAAAGTAAGTAGGGTGTTTGGGTTAATTTGGTGTTTGGTGACGTCTGTTGGTGTGACTGACAGTGTTGACATCTGGCAAAAAATAACTTTTTATTTATATTTAATGACAGCTGTAGAATACTCAAAATCAGGTTTTATTGGAGCACCTGTTGAGTGAAATAGTTTGGGCAGTTTTGGCACTTTTTGTGCCTTCACTATCCAAACTGCTCTTAAAAAAAGGAACAACAAAAAATGAAAAAATTAATGAAATATTACTCTCAAAAGGCCCTATTGGAAATTGCAGAAAATCATGATGTTGATGAAGAAATGAACAAATCTGTTCTAACATAATTTTGCATAATTTAAAAAAAAAACTGATTAGAATGTTTGTATTGTTTCTTTCTCAGATCTGGAATATGAAGCAGGATTCATGTGTTCATGATCTACAAGCACACAACAAAGAGATCTACACTATAAAATGGAGCCCCACAGGGCCAGGAACAAATAATCCGAATGCACAGTTAATATTAGCCAGGTGAGAGGTGTGACAATGTTTGTGGAAAAAGGAGAGGGAGAGAGAGATGGAGAGAGACAAAATAGAGGGAGAAAGGGCGATAGAGAGAGAGAGAGAGAGAGATGAGGAAGATATGGGATAGATGGAGAGAAATGGAAATATATATATAGAGAGAGAGAGAGAGAGAGAGAGAGAAGGGGAGTGGTGGATTGATCACATGCCTCACATGGTATGAAAAAGTTTGATTTCTTCAAAAACAATTCACTTTTTTCACCTTCTTTACCTTAAAGTCAATGAATTTCTGTTATTTCAGTGCATCATTTGATTCCACAGTGCGGTTATGGGATGTAGACCGAGGAATTTGTATACACACCCTGACGAAGCATCAAGAGCCAGTGTACAGTGTGGCTTTTAGTCCAGACGGGAAGTTTTTAGCGAGTGGGTCCTTTGATAAATGTGTCCATATATGGAATGTGCAGGTAAGGGGTGGATTTTGACACAGTTGTTTTGTAAATTTGAGCAGAATTGATGTGTCAATCATATATGAATAATTTAGAATCTTATTTTATATCTCATAAAATATTTGGGTATAAATGTGCAGAATTTGTGTGGACTTAAATACCATAAATACTCTATAACTTCAAACAGCTATGATAGATTGTATTTTTCTCAATGGTAAACCTTGAAAACTGTGCATGGGCTGCAATTTGTCTTCCATTTCAACAAAAACAGTGATAAGCCATACAGATCAATAACTTCTCTCCAGACCAAAAGACTGCACCTGTATTAGAAATCCTTAGGTCTTGTATTTAAATTGTAATGCAGTTTGAAGTTTTTACTGCCCAGTTTATAGAAAAAAGCTGCAGTGCTGACATATTTGAAGATAACAATAAAAAAAGGATGTTTTATCAGTTCTTTAATAGCTATAAAGATAAAGGGACTTTGTATTAATTTTCTCCAGTCTGGAGCACTAATCAATAGTTACAGAGGCAGCGGAGGGATATTTGAAGTTTGTTGGAATCACAGAGGGGATAAAGTTGGTGCCAGCGCCTCAGACGGAACCGTATGTAGACACTAGTTAGATTTTATATCTAGTGGTTCTCACAGATTTCGGCATTTTAATGGAAGTGAGCCATATCTCTCCATTAAGCAGCTTCAGATAAAGAAGAAATGGCGTCTATAAAATGGCACTGTTTAGTTTAAACAATTATGTTTAAAGAAATAGTAAATCAGAGCAAAGGTGTAACTGCAGAGCACAGGGTTTTTGTTGCAAAATACTGATTGATTCTATTCAATTGCAGGTTGTAGTTTTAGATCTTCGGAAGTAGAGTGGCTGTTGGAGCAGCGTTGGCGTTGTTTTAGGGCGACTACCTCAGTTCTCGTGCCAGCAACTATCTCAGGGCACATCTCCATGTAGGCAGACAGGAATTTGAGGCACATCTCCATGTAAGCAGACGGGACACATCTCCCAAGACAAGCTGTTTGCAGGGGGGTGGGGGAGAAAAAAGCAAAGGGATTCCTTTGCTTTGTTTTTCATGTATTAAACATGGAAACTTGCCTTCTGGTGACAAGTTAAATCAGTTCATCCAAACCAGATGGAAATCTCGCCTGCAGAGTGGTATCATCTTGGCTACTGCACTGCCATCTACTGGTGCCTCAGAGAGTGTGGATGCATGGTGTAAAGTGCTGCATGGTAATGTTATTGATTGCATCGAGAAGTTGTTTGCCAATAGAAGTATACATTTATTCCTCCTGCCCTGGGAGGGAGGGACATGTATAGAAGGATGGAAGGTTAGAAGGAACTATTCCTCAGACAGGCAAGCCTCGTGTGGAAAAGAAATACATGGTTAGGGCCCCTTTGTGGAGGACTGCAGGTAGAATCAGGGATTTTTATAACAAACAAAGGATTCATACTTCGCAATAAGCACTACTGGCTGCCTACACAGAAAGGAACACATAAACACTACTTCAGTTTGAATCAGGTGGTAACATAGGAAAAGAAAAAGAGAGAGAAAGGACTGCCAACGGCAAAGGGTTGAAGTTCCTATATGTAGGGCAACTTAAGTTGCTACATGTGGGTTGACTTTATAATCAGTTGATTTTGTCCATGTAAATTCACAATCTGGTAGGTCACTTAGGGGAAAAAATCCAGCTGTGTGTTTATGCTAATGACCAGAGCTTCACTTTTTAAAAATAAAGAAAAAGGTGAGAAAAGCCACGGGTCGTTAGAACCAGACACCTTGGACATTGATCTCAGCTTAAAGTGACCACGGGTCAATAAAAAATGGCCGACTACTGTTCTGACCACGTAGGGTCGTTTAGAAATTATATATAATGAAATAAAAAAGTGTGTTTATAATGTAGAGGCATAGAGAAGGCATGGAACCTGATAGCAGGCACACATGCCGAGCTAAGTTGATGTGTACAATGTTATTTTAAATGCTAGAGAACCACTTCCAAGGAAAGTGTGTATGGTTGATCTGCTCTTTTTTTATATTGAATCATGAGTATTGAATTTATTCTGTGGGTCAGAGGGGTGACCCAGATGAAGGGGGAGGGGGCGGGGGATATTTGTTGGTTACAGGGTGTGTACAAAGGTCGTGCTCATTCAGTGGTGTGAATTTTGTTCTTTAAATCTAAGATGGCTAAAACGGAGTTTTCATGTACGTGAAGAGAGTTTTTGGTAACAGCGGGGCTATGTTACAGGTTAGATCTTCGATTTAGATATTTTGGCAGTTCTAAAATGTGTTTTAAATTCACTTTGAAAAAAGGAACAAGGTGAAATAATTGAGGATGAACATTTTGCTTGATTTTTGCCTGCACCACTGATGTGCATGCTCTTTGTGTTCACCCTGTATTTGGTTTGCGTTGAGATTGAAGTTTGCTTGTAAAATGTTAAAGTGTTACATATTATTGATATTTTTTGTACAGTTTCGTGTACATAGTGAAACCTTGTGTAGTAGCACAGTGCAAAATGCCGAGTCATGCCCTATGCCGCCGCCATAGTGTGTGGCACGGTGCTGACATCTGGTGGTTTTGGCACTGGTCAAGTTCCCCTCCATCATTTTGTGTTGTATATAGATTATTACTCTCTGTCAAACTCCGTTTGTCAAAGTAGTGAGCTGTTTATATCAGTTAAAATGTGTCCACCTCCGTTGTTCGCCTATCACTCCCTCCAAGTTCACATGATTTGTAAGTGTAATACGTTTTATCATTGGACACTTAATAATTTGACTCTAGGTTGCAGTTAGGATTAATATGTATCAGCACGGTCGACCTTCACCTTGCAACAGGTGACCTTGGCACTTTTGACCTTGACCTTCATTCGGAAAAGATGTCGTTATAAGAAAGTGATTGGGATCCCGCCCCATAGATGTTTTGAATTTATGTTAGTTACGAAGTTAAGGTTTGATTCTGGATTTTAGAATGTAACCAAAAGTTTCAGCATTTTCCTTACCTTTTGATAGGCAAGTGTACACATTGAAATGTTTTTCTTGGATATTTGATGGTGTCAAAAAGTTAATAGTAAACCAAAGATAATCTTCACACACTGTTGTTGCACATGCCTCCGTTGACTAACAAACACCGGTGTAGATGGCGCTAGTCATCAATATAATTTTTATTATTTATATATAATTATTTCTTTGCACAGTCTTTTGAAAATATTAAAAAGGATAACAACCTATCCAACTTTTGTCATGTTGACACCGTTCTTGATATTTTTTTCTCTTTCACAAAATGTGTCTGATGGTAAACTTTGCTCCTAACCAGTTGTGTTGGCCGCACCTCCCCCCGTAGTGTCCGTGTACTATAGCCACACATATTAACGATGAATCAGTTATATTTGACATACTGGAAATAAATTGCTATATTTTGATATGACCTTAAGACGGCTTGATGTGTTGTTCTTTGCTGCTCTGGGAATGTTTGAAGCATGCAACCACTGGCAACGCGCGATTGAACTTCAAAGTGAAAAAATAATAATACATGTAAAAGTACATATAGCAAAAAGTAAAAATAGATTAAATGTATTAATTAAGAAATATCCTGCAAATTGAAAAAATATGTTCTTTCCCCTGAAATACATAAAATCACAATCTGAAAACTTTCCTCAGAGGACGCATTCACAACACGTTGGTTTGCGGACTAACAGGTCCGCGGATCAAATATGGCGCCACCCGAGATTTAATTTCCTGCCCACGTTGGGACGGCGCGCGTGGGAGGCAGGAATCCATTGTCAAATTTGACATTTGGTCCGCGGACTAGTTACTCCACGAATCAACTTTGTTGCGAATGCTCTCTATTAAAATCTACATAACCGCTAAAAAAAGAAGGAAACATGTTCAGACTGGCCAGAAATAAATAACAAAATCAAATGAAAAAAAAAAAAAAAACAGAATCTGAGTTCAGGGGTGGATCAAGTAATGATGCGTGAATAGGAGAACAACTGCTTTTTGCCAAAGAAAAATACATTTTAGCGGGTAAATGCCGTATAGGGCGCCTTTCCATTTTGAGAATGTGTAAGCTATTTTCTACATCATTCACAGCACTCGAATAAAAGACCCACCTGAGTGCGTGAACTTCTTCCACCATAAACACGACAAGTTGGTCATTAAACCTTAAATTATATAAAATTAACCCTTTTACGAAATTAGCAGTTTTTAAATACGACCCAAGTCGTAGTTGGCTGCGGTTAGATCATGCTGTTTTTTGCAACTTTTGAATTTAATTATAAAGGCATCTGTTGCCGCAAACAGCCTGTGTACTGACGTAACGAGACAGAGGCGTCCACATCAGTTTGACTTGTTAAACATGGATGTATGAAGACAAACTGACCACAGACTTGATGTAAACCTGCGCTGGCCACTTTTAGCGATATCTTGTATCGGTATAGCTGTATTTATATTTAAAATTTAAAATATATACACAAAGTGAGGTTCCTAACTCCCCCCACCCCACCCCCACCTTAAAAATCAACATAAATACACAAGTGCAGGATTTCTTACAAAATTAAATCGTTTGAATCATCGAGGAGCTGATAATGAGCAAACTATTTCAAGCATGATTCTGACAATTGGTCAGCGCTTCTGTCTATTTTGAATGACATCCCCCCTCCCTTTTCTTTGAAACATTCATAAAAAAATCATTGGTGTGGCGCTCCGTTCCACAATTGCACCTGAAAAACTCTTAAACCATAATAGTGGCAATCAAATGATATTAAAAAAACTTCTTACGAGACGTCAGGTGAACTGGCCATTTTACTTCACAATTAATGCAAATTTCTAAAAAAAATTATCTTAAACGCATATGCCGCAGACTGCAGGCTGCTAACGGCTGTCAACTGTGGCGAAGATTCACCTTTATCACCCTGTGGATCGGCGTTCCAACAGATTAATACCTGCGTAAAACCAATGTATCATTTATAGATAAAAGTCCCTGCTGAAATTCGGGGTGTCTATTCGGGCAAGTGCGCATGCAGATGTAGGAGGAATAAAAAAACTACCAGGCACAACTGTTGTTCGATTATAACGTCACCGCCATCTGTGACCAATGTCACACGCATATGGCAACTCCCTGAGAAAGACGCCATATAAACGGCGCGTATTTTCTCAGTCACTTCTCAGCGACAAACACACGGGTAAGGAACATCTCTGTCTCTACTACTACTGTCTCTACTATTACTACAGAATGGTTTTCTCTACAGACTATATACCACTGCGTTGTAGGGTGGTTGTAATACTGCTGCTAGCCCTTGCCTCGCAGACCTTGTCACAGTATAGTTCGGGATACCAAGTCCAGACTGTTTCAACTGGCCGAGATAACGGTTACAACCACAACCGCGGATATCCCGATCCGCAATATTTCGGGCCACACGAGGAAAGAGGGAGTTACGGCGGCGGCAGAAGTCAGTATATACCTTACGAGAGCTACAGCGCGCCAACCCAACGTTATGGAAGCCGCTACGAATACCAGTCACCATATTCCAGTCTGTATCACAAACTGTTCCAAGACTACGCCCACGTCAAGGTACCCACAGTGGCGCCACATAGCGGAGAGCACTCTCAAGATGGTACCCACGATCGCGCTGGGCAGTCGCAGTACAGTGGTGGCAGCGGTGGGGTAGGGCAGTACCACGAGGTCGGCTATGGTAGTAGCTATGGTGACAATAGTGGTAGCTATGGGGATACCAGTGGTAGCTATGGTGATACCAGCAGTAGCTATGGTGATACCAGTGGTAGCTATGGTGATACCAGTGGTAGTTATGGTGACAACGGAAGATATCACGCCGACCAACACAGAGGAGAGAGACCCACCACTCACTGTCATCTGTACAGAGATGACAAGGAACAATATGAGAAATGCCTGGGATGTACTGGTTCCGACAGGTTCTGTAAGTAAAGAATCATTCATTCTTCGACAACATCATTATCTTCAGAATGTTTTCTGCTCTACAGAAGAAAACTTTCATGTGATGAATATTCCGCTTTCTACATTCTTAGGGTGTGTAAAAAACAAAACAGGCAGCACCATGTCAATGTTTACCTTTAGTTTTGTTTCATGTTGTAATAAAATCAAAATCATACAATGAAAAAAACAGATAAATAAAAAGTGTGATACACGATTAACTACTAAGTGCGCACACACATATGAACACACAATGCACGCTTAACTTTTACCAAAGAAAGAATTAATATTTTATATGTGTTCAACTTTAGTTCGGATTTCATATATAGTATTTACCCAAAATTGACAACCAATCGACATAGAGAACACATTTTTGGGCACATTTCACTTGGTCGAGGCTCTTTGACGAAGATCAGAAGCGTCATGCTTCGACTCTTCATCAAAATCCATTGGTAAAAACACGTTTAATCTCTTAAGAAACTATATACATTTTTTATCATCATTACACAATAGGTAATGAAAAACTTATTTCAACTAATCCTGACCATGTTAATGTCATCTTCTTTACAGTCGTATGCCCCGTAGCGGGAGTCTACAAGCCGGAGAGGGCATATGGCCCGAAAGAAGAAGTACACGAAGCCCCACGCCGCCATTTTGCCCATACAGACCCTCAGTGTTACTGGCAGTGTGACGAGTTCGGGCGCGCGTTTGGCCAGCCCTGCCCAAAAGGACTAACATTCAACACACATGCGCAAGTCTGCATCCGGCTTTAAACTCAGTTTGAACTACACGTGCACGGGTTTCCGAAGGTTGACACCCAGAAGCCTCAAAGACTGGCGTTGTTTAAGACTGATGAAGATTTTATATAAAATGTGTTACTTTTGTGTTTTGGATCTAATGTGAAATCAAAGACATAACGTTATTGTCATTAGGTTAGAATCAAACTAATACGAGTTTTACGTGGTAGGCCCAGGAGCCTTTAGAAACGTATAAAAGAAAAAAAAAAGGAGTAAAAGGTTGTCACTTAGAACATTAAACTGACCACGACAACACCTTAATAAATCTGTATATTTCCCTTTCATTTTAATTCAGATTATGGTGTAGATAATTAGTGATTTTGGTTGGCTTTGTAAAGCTGTAGAGTAATAAATAATCCTGACCAGAATCTCTCTCGTTCGCTTCTTATTAGTTAATTAATCACTACAAATATGTAGGAATGTTCTGAGTTATCATGAGGCCTTCATGCCAGGCCGTTGTAAAAAGTGTTTTGACACACGGAACTGTCCATTCCTATTCATGAATATCAATTTAGCAAACAGAACTCACCGCAGTTAAGAAAACATTTTGAATATCTAGATACGCAAAACGTGGGGGGAGGGGGGGTTAAAACATTTTGGCCTTACATCGATCGCTGGGCAAAAACAAACAAACAAAGGACGAGAACCATATTAATTGGGTATATAGTGCACAGGAATGAGCTTTTGCTTTTGTCTTTTGCTCGTGCGAGCGCACGTGTGTGTTTCGCTTACCGAATAACCATATCACTTATTTTTATATGATACCATTGCACATTAAGACACAAATCAGTGTACTATCATGACAAACCCTCTCGTTTTTGTACGGTTTCATAGGACTATTTCTTTTTTTAAATTTCCAAGGTTAAAAGTACTCTAGCTTTGGTTTCGAGGGAAATAACGACTTACAGGTACACGTAGGCCTAATTACAGAAAATCTATGTACAACACCGCGGCAGCAGATCAGTCTAAACTAATGGCTAATTAATCACCAATCCTAAACGCCCTCATTAATTTCTCCTTGCCACTCTCGCCCTCACCGGTTCTACCCCCGTGTACCTGAGCGTTTGTTTTTGGCACGCGACTGTGGTATAGACCTTGTTGTTGGCCGTAACAGATACCCCGTTGTACAGGGTAGACAGAATACGGGTATTCTTTACGCAGTGAAACTATCAGGCTTGTAACAAGCGCTTTCAACNGAATGGGCTATCAGGCCTGTAGCCAGCAGTTACAAAAGTGGGTTCTGGTTCTGTAAAAGTGGACCTTTTACCATGAAACCTTGATGATACAGATAATTTTTCTCAGAGGGGACCTTTTCTGGAAAAAAAAGGGGGGGGGGGTATCTTTCGAACCCCCCTGGCTACGGGACTGGGGTTAATGTTACACAGAAAAGACAGTAAAGATACAGGTAGGAAGTCAATAGATCTGGCGCTGAGAAACTCCTCAAAACATGTTCTCTGTAACATTAACAATATAATTTATGTTTAAGACAAGTGGCGTAGAAAATTGGTCAGATTTGGCAATGGAAATCTCTTAAATTAATTTCTTATGAAATATGAAAATAACTATTTTACACGTATCAATATAGAACTTTAACTTTTCTGATCTTTTTGATGGCTAATTGTTAGAGTGACTGGAAAACTGCTTCACTATAAATGACCAATTCAACTATTTACCTCAAGACTATATAATAAATATCTGACGAAATAAATAAATGAACAGATAAATATGAATATACATAACAATAAAAAATAATGCTGGACAGAAACATTTCAATCTGAAACAGAAATCAATAAAAATATCAATCCTGTACATCGATTGTATAGCGCATTATCCACATCAAAGATTGCACGTTTGTGCAAGACAGTACCTACCCGAAGCAGAGGGCTCTTCCACAACATCTCAGAGCTCGCGATATCCACGGAACCAACAGGTGAACGTTGGCCGGTCGATCAAAGTACTCCTGGTTGTATAAACTGATCTGTCACCACAAGGTAAGATCCAGTTGTAGTTGTAATTTACACGTGCGTTTGTTTGGTATAACCCAATTAACGTTTTACGTTTATTCAAAGGAGAAAGAATCTTCATCAATGAATCTGCTGTTCGAGAGTTTTACGTTACCTAAAACGGTAGTCTTTTTTTTTTTCGGGGAGCAACGGCGTATAACGAACAGTTTTATATTTGTAACTTGTTGGTTTTGTGTTGGATATTAATGTTATTTAGGAACTTTGTTTGCTGTAAATTGGTAACTTATTTGTTATATACATTAGTGTCTTGTTAGTTAGCAATGTGTTTTAAATATGCTGTTAGGTTTAAGTAGGTAAGAAGAGTTGTTGGGTAAATGTTTTTATATTGCTGGTGCGTTGATATCGTGTTTCTTATGTGTTGATGGCTTGTTGGAAAATCCCCTCAAAGGAATCTAAGAAGAAAGATATAACAGTTAGTACTACATGTGCGTGTGCAAGCAGCACGAAATATAGGGGTAATAATTGTCGCATCGCGCATGATGAGTAATGCATTGGCTTAGAGGCATCGTGCATAGTTTTACAGGTGCTAACCACAGTAGACTAGTGAATTCTATAAAGGAAGCCCCACAGTCAGATATTTTCGACCTCTGTTGTAATCATATCCTTTTCTTTTTTTTATTTTTATATTTATCTTGTGAGTTAAAACAAGATGTTCAAAGTCAGAAGGCAGGGGTCTTGTTTTTATATACAGACTTCCACAATCCAAGTCAAAAACCGGATAATTTGATTTTACGTGCAGACATCCATAATTATTACTTCGATTTTCATGAGACCTGTTTCTGCCACCGATTTTTGCCCGACTTTGAATAGATTTACAAGTGCACATATTTCGATGTACAGGGGATTTGCTGGACAAAATATTTCATATACTTCTGAGATAAGATATACTAAAGCTACGAGTCATACAGGTGCAAAACCCTTATTTCACACCTGTCCTGAATCTGAGCTCGGCGAAACCTTCTACTGTTTTCTTTGCTGAGATAATGGCGCTGGCTTAATGAAAATGGACGCGTAAAGCAGGTGCCAGCGCCGCGAAAAAAACTATTTTGGTTCATTAGATTATTTGTTTCACGCATCGTCCTGTTATTGTACTTCAAGTGCTGAAGATGTATGGCGCTGAGTTCTTAAGGTGATTGTTTCACATTCACATGTTTGCTTACACAGCTTGGGTCGTTTTTTAGTGACTATTCTTGTTTTGCAGGCCTTTTTTTCGTAGGTGCTTCGTCAGTTATGATTTGGTTAATTCGCCTATCTCTCCTTTTCTCCGAAGGCTTTCCAAGTCACAAAAGAGATTAAACACCGCACTTGCCAGAACTTACCTTTCTGTTACATCAGACAGCCGGATAGAACGTCTCTCCTTTGCGTAATATGATTACGTTTCTAGCAAAACACGTTAATTCGGGGCAGAAATTGCAGATTTATCCGTGGGCGTGACGCCGATGGTTTTTCCTTCCCCGTTGCCAAAACGCTCTCTTTTAAAGTAATGCTGACTTCTGTTTGCTATGAATGCTTTTGATTCTTCCACCTTTTTTGATTTTTTTTAAATCCACAGTGCAATATTTTTTAAATAAAGGGAGCACAGACTTACTAACACCAACTTGATGTGCACGTCACTAGTTCATTTGTTGAACGCATAAGGCCAATCTATACCCAAACGTGTAGGGGAAAGATTTTTTAATACATTGAACCTTAATATCCCCTTATTCATCTTTTTTTAATAGTGTAAAGTACTTGAAAAATGTATTATTCAATTTTAGTCACTAATTTTCCATCACCGTTTTTCACATTTTTCGCTTTGTATTTCGTTTGGTCATGTCCTTCATGAAGAAGATGATGATACAGACAAAACGGTGGCATTCTTGTGCCACTCTGCGTTATTGAAAGAAGCTGCAATATCGTGCAATCCATTAACGGTTATTTCTTTAAGCGCAACTCTTTAACGGAATGCACTTGATTCTGATTAGGCCCAACTTAACCTGGGAGCGTATTCTACGGAGAACACCTTGTTTTGGGGATGCATACCTTCAACCAATAATTCCAGAAGCTAACAAGTGTGATTTTTTCGTGATTTACCAGAAATCGTATCTTGATAGTGAGATGCAAGTGATGTCCATTACCATACGTTATGATTGATACGAGTGTCATTTGTCACCAACTGAACATTTAATAGAGAGAGAAGTGTTCAACTCAGCAGTGCCTCTTCACCCCCGCCCAATACCAGCACCCTCTCCCAAACTTTCGAACAACTGCCCATTCAATAATCAGGTATCTGTTAATCTGTGCTTAAAAATGGTTACAAATAAGCAAAAACGGTCGTCTGATGATGTGTTTAAGATCGGAACCGGTTTAGGTTTATGTATGCACATTACATATATGCGCCCGAGAGAGAGAGAGAGAGAGAGAGAGAGATGAGCGAATACCGTTGTGAACCCTTATGCACTCAGTCTCAGCTGAGTCTAATTTGGCGATATTTTCCCCGAGGCATATTTTTCCACCTGCCGCCAAGAACAACTTGTGCTGCAACTGGCAATAGGAAGGTATTTAACGCTTTTGGTAGGAGTCTAGGAAGGTAGAAGCTGAACGACGCGCCCTCTCATGGTAAACTATGTATACCCCTTTAGTAGGGGCAAGTCTCTCTCGTCCTTTCCCTCTCCCTTTGTCAATCTCTCTCTCTCTCTTCTGAATACCGTAGCCAAAATGAAGTTTTTCACAATGGTTAGAACAAAGTTCATATGAGATGAAGTAAACATAAGAACTAATGTTTTACATATAGAAAAAGAAAACTAAGCTATTGACGGTTTAATCTTTTCTCCGTTCTCCTCCTTGTTTGAGGACAACAACCAATGAAATTGGAGAACAAATTGAAAAGAAAACAATTCTCGCGAGCCGGATTTGAACCAGCGACCTAAGGATGTCTTTTATCGTCCACTACAGTCCTCCGCTCTACCAACTGAGCTATCGCGAGCTACGATTATCTTACCTGTCTGCACAGGTACGCTTTCTGAAGACCGTCTACAAATTATTTTTACATATTCATGAAGTGTTATTGCGGTCTTGCATGCACTGTTATCATTGATTGTTGTCACTCTAGTTGTCGCTGTTAAACATGTCCTACAAGACCAGTGTACAAGGTGGAAGACAGACTTATGTCCTCCCTGAACATCATGTCTTATATTTTTGTAGCTCATGTCTTATGTTTTTTGTTGCAGCATAAGCTTACCCTCTACCAGGGCCACAGGTTGATTTTCACTAGGTATTCTCAGATTCTTTGGTTAATTCATGGCACGTTTTTCCACGAGTTGGAGAAAAGTGCACATAATTTATTTGTGGCCCTGGTTGAGGGTAGCTTGTACACAAGTCTAGGAAATTGCTTTTATGAACAGGGAAAACTGAAATGAACGGCTTTTATCAAAGTGCTTTCACCTCCTCGCTTTTGCTCAGACAAAAACCCGAGGGCAAATAATATAAAACAATACCAAACGCATTTCTTCTCTATTGTATTGTGACTTTGTATTGCTTTAAAAGTACTTCACAAAGTTAAAGCATACAATGTTTGTGCATGCTTTTCATTACGTTTATCAGTCTCAGAGTCTATCAAACATATTATAGTATTACATCTATATACGATTCCCATAATGGGATAAAATATAAAGTGTACCGATGTATGTTATTCAACTGTACATTAGCCAGAGAAGACAGAAGTAAGGGGCATGCAGATTTTCTAACTCAACCTGTCTTCTTACCTATCAAAATCAATCAGTTAAGTTAAAAGCAAGACAAATATTACCCTCTATCACGACTGCAAATTAATCATGAATTAATCAGAGATATATCTGCGAAACATTAATCTATGGCCCTGGTAGAGGGTAGGCAAAACTAAGGGCTGGGGTGAAAATATGTCTCTGAGGGCGACGGTACAGCGACTGCGACAGCGCAGGAGGTCAGTATATTTGCAGACTTTTTGCAGTATATTTGGGGTCTTTTCATTAAGAAAAAATGTTTCTCGCGAGCCGGATTTGAACCAGCGACCTAAGGATATCTCTTATTGTCCACTACAGTCCTCCGCTCTACCAACTGAGCTATCGCGAGCTACGAATGTGTCAAAAATGTGCACAAGTCAGATTTCTGAAGACACGCCGTCCCTAATTTATAATATTCCTTATTCATGAAGTGTTATTGGGGTCTTACACGCATGGTTATCATTGCTGTCAATCCAGGTGTCGATGTTTTAATATTCTACAAGATCAGAGATTAAGCTTGAAGCCTGAAGCTTTGTCATTCATTTCCACTTTTTTTTTTTACCAACGATTGAACCTTTTACTAAAACAAAAAGGTGGGGCACTTTATGTAAAACAATACTAAATAATATTGTTTTATATTGGATGACACTGTATAAGTAATAATTTCAAAGTTGTGACATGAAAATTATAAACATGATTTCAATACGACTTTTATTCAGTCTCGTGGAAATTTTTGATCATAGAAAGTTTTCCAGGGATACTTTATACAATTGCGTTTCTGTCCACGTCATAGGCGACAATTAAAGCGAAAAAATGTTGATTTTCTCTTTAAATCTATTTTTTCGCCTATCAATACCTGCTAGTAAAGTTTAAAACAACAAAACTAAGGTCCGGGGTGGTCAGTCGTCTAGGACGGCGGCGGGACAACGACAGCGATAACGTGGCCAGCTGGCGCAAGTGGTCAGTTTATTTACAACCTTGCATCTTTTTATTAAAGCAAAAGTTTTTCTCGCGAGCCGGATTTGAACCAGCGACCTAGGATATCTCATTGTCCACTACAGTCCTCCGCTCTACCAACTGAGCTATCGCGAGATACGACTCTAATAATAAGGTACATAAGTTACATTTCTGAAGAAAAGCCGTCCCCAATTTATAATTCCATATTCATGAAGTATTATTGCGGTCTTACACGCAATGTTATCATTGTTGTCGCTCTAGGTGCCGATGTTATAATATTCTACAAGACCAGAGAATAAGTTAGAAGGCCGATTAATGTTCTACCTGAACCTCCCGTCATTTATTTCTAGTTCTTTTATTACCAAAGATTTTACAAAGACAAAAAACAATACTATGTCATTTTTTTTATATATTGGATGGCATTGTATAAGAAATAATTTCAAAGTTGTGACATGAAATTTTGAAACAAGATTTAATAACGTCGTTTATTCAGTCTCGTGGGAATTTATTTTGTTCATAAAAATATTTCCAGAGATACTTTATATAATTGCTTTTCTGTCCACGTCAGGCGCAAACTGAAGCGAAAACATATTGATTTTTCTCTTTAAATCTATCTTCTCGCTTATCAGTATCTGCTAGAAAAGCTGAAAACAAGGCAAGACTAAGTTCTGGGGTGAACTAACGTTTGGGACGGCTACAGGACAGCGACAGCGACAACACGGCGCTGCTGGTCAGTATACTTGTAGATCCTTGCATCTTTTTATTAAAGGAAAAAAGTTCTCGCGAGCCGGATTTGAACCAGCGACCTAAGGATATCTTATACTGCCCACTACAGTCCTCCGCTCTACCAACTGAGCTATCGCGAGATATGAGGCTATCAAATCTGAGCAAGAGAGATGTTTCTGAAGCTGCGCCGTCCATTATTTATTTATTTTTCCATATTCATGAAGTGTTATTGCGGTCTTGCATGCACTGTTATCATTGTCGTCACTCTAGCTGTCGCTGTTAGGCATGTCCTACAAGACCAGTGTACGAGGTGGACAGTCTTATGCTCCCCCCCCCCCAAAAAAAAATAATAATAATAAACAAATGATGCCATATTTGTTATGTCACACGTTGAGCATTTTGAACAGACATGTTAAAACAAAAACTTGAAGGCAATTTATGTGAAATGGTATCATCTTATTTTATTCCATATTGGAGTACATGTAGTGTATGAGTAATTACTTCAAAGTTGTCCAAGAAAAGTTCAGACATTTTTCCAAAGATGTTAATTCAGCTAATTATATATACATTATATGTCATTATATATAGGCCTACAAGATATATAAGATGCATATTATTAAAATTCATTGCGCTCATAGGATAAAAACTGGAAACGTTTTATTTCTGTCAACGCCAGACAAGACAATTTTACTTACCTACTTATCAAAATCTCCTAGCACAGTTAGAGTAAAACAAACGGCTAAAGATTTACAACTTGAATGAGAATAGCAATTACTGACACGGAAAAATGCTATTCAGAAAAAAATAGTGAGGTATTTGCCCCCCCCCCTCCCCCCAAGCATCACTCGCTTATGACTGACGAGACTGAAAAGTAGCCACTAAATGGCTTTCAAATTGTCTGTAATGAGAGATATTACGACCTCATTGACAAAACATGAATATGTTTAACTGATGAAGGAGATAAAATGACTTAGGGACAGTTAACGGGCATAAATATAGCTTATTCGTATCTCGCGATAGCTCAGTTGGTAGAGCGGAGGACTGTAGTGGACAATACGGGATATCCTTAGGTCGCTGGTTCAAATCCGGCTCGCGAGAAACTATTTTTGGTCCTCTCTGCTGTATTTGTCCATTCCCAATCACCCTGAGTTTCACAGAATATTGGAATGAAAATTTATTTTATCAGCGTAACTCTGCCGCAAGCTGCTGATAGATATAAATTTACACTGACCCTAGGAAGACAGGCTGCTGCACGACTGACTTTTATATGGTTGATGTAATTATTCCAGCTCAAAATATGTTATAGATTTGAAAAAAGAAAGAATTTTTGATAATAAACTTTTCAATACAAATCCAGATTCTGTTCAGTGCCCATAGTTCTTGCGTATTTGATTGAATGCGCGCTGGACTTCTATAGCAACAGAATAGCAGCAGTTCTGGGAACTTTTTTCTTTGAAGTCAAGTTATACCGGTTCACTCTCCAAATGCGTTTAGAGCAGTACTATCTATAAATCCATTTTTGAGCTCTTTATTTCTAATTTCCAATTTCATGAATAAAATTCATGGTAATTTGACCTTGGCTACATTATGAGAGTGACTCAAAGATTAAACATTTAGAACTCAAATTCTGTTTATACAACGTAGATTGTAATTAGAAAGTTTTAGGACGTGGCATACCTTGAGAGAATATATATATACAGACTTGACATTTAATATGGAATATTTCAGTTTCGAAGGTGTGCCTAGGTAGAAATGCGTTCTTTTTTCAAAATACTAATATCTCATATAAGATATGTGAATGGAGAAGTGTGAAGTCAGCTGTGTCGCTTCCAATTAACTGAATACCAGGTTTGTTACGCTGCTGCATTATGTAATATGAAGTAATTTAATTGGGTAGTGCTCCTTTGGGCAGGTCAAAGCTTGGCTGTGGCAAAGCACGGTTCTGTCAAAAAAGTATCCATATGTCGGCAACTACTGCATAGAAGAATTTGAAATTTTACATGCAAGTGGTCGGTTTTGCAGTGTGTAAAATGAGCTATGCAGTGCTTTGCAAGTTTGTTAATCTGTGGCAAAGTGGCGCGAAAAAGACAGACATTGCCAGACAGTTAATTGCGCCAAACGAAGCGGTCCGCACAGTTTTATAGAGTTATGCCCAGACTGATGTACCTACATAGAGGCCACACCCAATGTATTAAAATCTTACCACCAGAGTACAGGACCCACTGTCTTTCAGGATATGCCGTTGCAACTAAACAAAAACCACCCAGTCCGTTCAGAATGAGGGGTAAATTGCCACTAAAACGCATTTTTCAAGGCCCTTAG